CATTTCATTTTACGCAGTGCAAATAATAAAAACTGCTTTTGAACGGACTCAACTCGAGCAATCTTTTCAGCGGTGTATGGGCTCCAAATCTGTGAGCCATATTCGATAATCGGTAGTACAAATGTGAAAAATAATTTCTTAATTGTCCATGGGTCCTCAAAATCTCTCCCAAAATGTTTGATCCATGCCAATCTTGACTTTGCTTTGGCGGCAATGAATTCAATGTGTGCATTGAAATTCATGTTTACATCCAAAATGACGCCCAGATCCTTCATCACTTCAACACGGTCAATTTTTTCGTTCTCAATCGTGTATATGTGGTATTGATATAAAAAATGGCTTGGGTATGATTCTCTCATTGTAAAACATAGCCTAAAATAGTATTTCTTGATTTTATCCCAAATATTCATGAATCATATAGTTTATTTTAGTTAAGTTTTATTGCATGACACCAACGGTTTCAATTCAAACTTTTGTATCAAAAAATATTATGTAGATCTAAGTCCAAGTACGTAATGACTGGTAATTACGTACAACCATTGTCATTCATATTAAATAATTGTGAAGTCTTTTTTAAAGAGCATCTTCGTTTTTTATAGTTATCTAAGACAGTAATTGTTATAAAAACAAACTCAATTTATATTCCTTTTAAAGACAAATCAAAACCACAAACTTGTGCGTCCAAGTGTAATGTGCTAGGGCATGAATGTTCCTAATGTCAAAATAAATATTCAATAATAAAAACACCGTGCGAATTGTATGTTATGAACTTGTTTTTATTATCCGACCGAAAAGTAAGTTTAGCACAAAAATTATCGTAATTTGGTCAGTGTGAATGTCCAGTTGAGTTTAAATTGATGGTGTTGTCTCTGGCTCAGCGAGCATCGAATACAATCACTGTGAAATGTGAAATAAACAGAATTTAATCAATACATTTCTTCAAGTTATGAAATTATAGGAAACACTGAGCAAAAATGTGATTCAAACTACTTACACCGCTTTGTACGTTTCTTGCACATAATCCGATAATCACATTCTCGGCACCGAATCGCGTCTTTTGGTCGCATTTCGCTCTCGCAGTGACATTCTAATGGGTGAGTAAAATAAAATGAATCCATTTAATAGGTATCTTCAATGTTATCCGAAGTGGGAAATAAGGCTATAAACTAAATTAAATGGGGCTGTTCTCAACGAATGAAACTATTCACATGCCATATTGCGAGGCAGATATAGTCATGATTAATAGAAACTTACCGCCGCAAACATACCATCGCTGTTTTCAGAACAGTATCCTTAGAACTTGGCTCCGACATCTTTCTGAAGATGTTCAGTTGATATTATGTTCGAGAAAATTGAAGAAAAAATTAAATTGTTACTTTTGCAGCACGAGTTCATCAGAGTTGATGTGAAACCAAACAAAGCTGGCACTTGAATGACAGCATTCTGACACCTAACCTTAAGGCTGAGTTCTGTCAGGTTTTAATTCGTTGAATGTCCGTTTGTCGTGGTGTCGCTACATCCAACAAAGGTGTTTCTCAACCCAACAAAAAATACGTAAAAAGATATGTTTTGGATGAAAATTGATTTAATGGTTTTGTGATATGAATTTGCTTTTTTATTTGGTTTTGTCTCTAAATACGATTGCAAAATATATCGCGTAAAATGTCTTACGTAAAACTGATTATTTGGTTTTTGGCAGTTTTTGGTTTGCAATTTCATCGGGTGTGCGTTGTTGAATGACAGCGTTTGTCTAATAGCACACAGACGCTATATGTACATGTGTATGTACAAAATGGTGCGAAGTTTGTTTTGGTTTGTTTTAATTGGTTTTAGTTGGTGTCGGGGAGAGAAACAATCAATTTGTAGGCGGCATTTTTTCTGTATAATTTTCCAGCAAAACTTTTCCGATAACAACGGACTTTAATTTGTGAGAAGAAAGAATCGTGTGGCAACTATGAAGTCGGTGCTAATGGTAGCGGAGAAGCTGTCGCGGCAAATATTTTGAGCAATGGACGGAACTCGAATCGAAAAGGTAAGAGAAAACTCAATCGATTGGTTATGGGAATATTTTTAGCTAATTTTTTTCGTATTAAATCCTAAACAGGACAATAATGCGTGCTCAGTGCATGAATGGAAAGGGGTATTTCGCAATGAGAGTGTTACGTTCAAAATGACATCGGTGTGCGGTCATGTCATGTCATTGGATTTTGTTGGTAAATATCGATTTTTTTTGCACACACGAATTCTGTTTTGTGAATAAATTCTTCGATTAGGTCAATACAATTCATGGGATCATGTTGACCCAGTGGAGCTGTTCACTTGCCCAACGGAATAGAAAGAAGGCACACCGAAATTGCGAATGCGACAATTTTTGGGCACAGAAGCAAAGGGCTGCCATTATTTGTTAGTAGCTCCTCTCTTATCACATTATTCACTTACGTACCCACTAATATCAATTTATTTTCAAGGGTCCTGTGGCTCGATTGCGATAAGGAAGGGGAAAATATTTGCTTTGAACTGATGGACGCAGTGTCACGTTCAGTTCGTAATGTCTATTCGAATGAGGGGACCTATCGTGCCAAATTTTCGGCAATCACGGAAAATGACATCAAACAGGCCCGTAGCCAGAATCTGATGTGAAGGCTGGCTTGTCCGATTTTTGAGATGGCTCAAAATTTGTTTTATAATTTTGAGGGTGGACAGAATTTGTGACTAAATTAAAAGGTGTTTTTATTTTCTTTGTGTGCTTTATTTCCATAAAATTGTCAAATGTTGTTTATAACATCAAATTCGAATTAGTAAATGATAGGTATGGTAATGGCTGAAAACTCTTTGGTTTGCTCAAAAAATGAGATGAAAGTTAGAACAATATGCGTCGATTTGCTTTATTGAATTTTTGCATTATTTCTTCATCGCACATATTGTTGAGTACATATTTGTTATACGCCAAGAAAGATAAATCACATAAACGTTTGCTAT